AACGAGTTGTTTATTGCCGTTTCTGTCCAGTTTATACACTTGTATGGAGTCCTCCTCCTCGTAGACCACATTTTTGCGCCCCGACTCTATTTTACGCAAACAAAACCTATTTTCCCGGAAAAAGTAGTACTTCCCCTCCTCTATCTCTATGGAGCCGGTCAGGGAGTGGGGCAATGAGTCCTCGGTCTTGTCGACCGGGTTGGGCCCGTTTTTGGCACTTTTTACAACCGAATCGTTTGCCAAAATATACTCCCATTCCTATGTGTCATGTAATTTGCAAACAATTAGCTATCATTTTATTTTTACAGTATTAATAGGTATAGTATTTAGTAAATTACTTGATCTCCTTTTATGAGGGACACCCTATCATCGGGTAATACAACTACTGTCGTGTAGGAGCTCTTGACCGGAATCTGTAGTTAAATGAGAGTATAGTTTGTTATATAAATCCTATTGTTTTTGAATAACAATTATGTTATGAAAAAGTAATCATGAATGAAATACCTGTGAATTTTCATACTTTGGCTTTTTGGTTATAATTTGTGGTGAATTATCAAATACTAAAATAAATATAAGTAAAATCTCCAAGAACCTAATTCGCATTTTATACATCTATTAACCAAATGAGTATTTCATTGTATAAAATACTATTTTAATTAATAGTTAGAAATGGTCTTCACTGCCATTATAATACAAAACGCATTCATAATTGCAATCAATTTCAACATCACATATGGTTTAGAGTCCACCAAATGGTGTACTCAATGAATATCAATGAATAAGCAATTAAAAGCATTACTTTTATTAATGAAAATCAAATTTTCAAAATAGTTTTCATCACAAGTTACAAATGAAATACAACAAAATGGTTAATTAGAAATACTTTATTTGACACCAAAATAATAATACGATAGTTAATAAGCAGGATAATATTTAAACTTTGTTTTATGAAAGTATACGAGAATATACAGGTTTTCATGAGGTTTTATACATTAATTGTTTTGATGAATACCATGCTAATATGGTAATTAATCTCGGCCATGAATATATGGATCCAGATGATATTATAGGTAGAAATTACACAATTAAGCCAGTGTTTGATAATAAATCCACAATAGACCCAAACATAAGTTCAGCCAAATATTGCCCACAATGGATGACCCGGCACCTCTTATACCGTCACTATTTGATCAAAGTTCATGATTATTCAGTGTTTTTTCATATGTAATCTAATAATTATTTTGATATAATATTATTTAGATACATATTTATGAGCCCAAATATCATCCCCCGCCAACCAGCGGGTCCGTGAATACCGCATCACTGGTTATATAAATGGTTGGAGTGATTGCTGTACACTTAAAACCCAGGCGTCCGTCTCTATAATGCTATACAAATGAACAAGGTATAAACTCACTTAAAATACATTGAATAATTGATTATTTAATTAACTGACCTTATACTGGGCCACAAATTTCAGAGTCAAACTACTCGACTCGAGTCCCTCCCCATAGGATTGGGTGGTGTTCACGATATCGTACTCACTGTCACGCTATTAAAAATATTACAATTCAAATAATTAATAATTATAAATAAATCTTTATTAAAAACAAGTTTATTTAGAAAGTTAAATAATTTGTAATTACTATGTTAAATTTATATAAATAGATAATCTTAATTAAGACTTAAATTTACTCGCTGGTGGTTATAGCAAAAAATTTAGTAATTGTTTACAAATACTTTTTAAGCCAAAACTATAACAATTTCTAAACTAAATATACTTTTAAAATAGTTAATTATTTCACAATTACAGTCTCTAATAAATAAATATATTTTTAGCATTTTATAATTTATTCAAATACCGTACTACTATTGTAAATTATTAATTATAAATAAATCTTTATTAAACACAAGTTTATTTAGAAAAGTTAAATAATTTGTAATTACTGTTCAATTTATATAAATAGATAATTTAAATGAACACTTACATTTACTCGCTGGTCGTTGATATGCCTTAAAATTAGTAGAAAACAGTGAGAAAATGTCAAAATAACCACAATTCTATGAATTACTTTGTTAAAACAAAACTTACCACATTAATGTTGCTGGAGGTTTACTTTTACTGGACACACATTTCAACGATACTAATAAATCAAATAATAAAACATTGCTTAAAATTAAAAACTGAATCTCAAACCACACTTGAGATACACTTTAAGAATTTGATTGATAAGTATTGCAAAGTCTATACCGATATCTCCGACCCTATATTCCAAACGACTGGACGTTATGGACGGACCCGACTCAGGGGGCACTGAATTATCATATTATATAAATTATAACTAATATTTACTCATAAAATAATGAAATGGTAGTACCGATAATCTGTAGGGTTGCCTGACTGCGAATTGTTATTATATTAGGTGAGTCCACTGATACCTCGCACCTATTTACATAAAACAGACTTGGTAATAAAGTATAAATAACTCAATCGAGAGTATACCCACCGATAACTGCCATCTGAATGGATGCTCACGTGTTTCAAAAACACAGAACTGTCGCTACTTCTAGCCAACTGTCCACAAATTGATACAAAAAAGTAATTTAACTCATTATTAAAATACAATATTAATGTAAAAATACATATAAATTTCAAAACTTACATCAATATCAATACCAGGCATAGTATAGTGTGCGATCAGACCCTAAAACACAATAATTATTTTATTAGACATTCTTGAGAATGGTATCAAAAATGTAATTTTTAAAATTAATAATTAAATTTATTTTATATTAAACTCATAGCACATAAAAACTAAAAATTACTAATAATTTAACGTACAAAATATAAACATACCTTTGGTCCATATCTGTGCATTTAAATCCAATTTAAATAATGAGTATCATGAAAATATTTTGCATAATATTAATTAACATTTGTATATTCATTAATATATTCATTTTGTTTGTTTACCGATAGAACTCCTTATCATCCTTGAGCCTATAAATATAATTCAAAATCAAATTCATTTATTTACTGTTTTTATATAAAATTTTGTTTAACTAAAATAAATAGTTATAGTTATTGTTTGGTAAATTATCATCTTTCAGACAGCGGTAAGTTGAGTATTAACGTCGAGTTAAACTGCCTGACGGGGTGTTTATGTCAGCCGCCGTGGTGGTCCAAAAAGTGGCAATTACGCCATATATTCTCAACTATTTTATAAAATAAAATATCTATTAAACCATTTACAAAATAATATTTATATTGTTTTTTAAATTAACCACGATAAATTAAATTACAATACACATACAAAAATTTTAAACTATACAAATAAATTATGAAAATAAATTATAACTTCTATTACATAACAATTTATAAGCACTTACCGCATATAATTACAAATAGTATACAAATTATTTGCAACTGAAGCATGATAATTTATCAAAATGCACTGCTTATCACAAATAAAACTTAGCTAGTAAATAGCTATGTCTGCAACTCATTTCTCAGAATTAAAAATTTCGGTGTTTTTATTATAACTTTGAAAAAGTATTTGAATTGTGTGTTTGTGCGGCTGAGGGAAAGGGAGTTAAAGGAGAGACACCTTTGCATCCTTTATCCCTATTTAACAAGAAAAGCATGTAATGATACGAAACCCATGTAATCCTATTATAAAGTATACATAGATTTATACGCAAAACTAGCATAGTTTGCGAAAATTGAAGGTCACTTTTATTATACAATTTTTATAGTGAATCGTTAGTTTTGAAAACTAGCTTAAAATAATATTAATTCATAATAAGCATGAGATTTGAGCATTAATGATGAACATTCATTGTGTCCATAAAACCGTTCATAATAGCAAACCTTGAATAAATAAACTAAATTTTTCAAAATTTTTATGTCACACACCTAATACTGTACGTAATAAATCCTGAATAAATTACTGATATATTGCATTAAGACAATTCACAATTTAAAATGATTATTTCATTTATTTGAAAAGTGAATAAAATTTTTAAATATAAATTCAATTAGTGAATGAATATATTTTTACTGTATATTAAAGCAATAGTTATTAAAACTTTATATTTTTAAAATTTCACTAGAAATTCATGACTTTATATTTAAATATAACAACATTTGTTGTAAACTTCATCAGAAATGATTACAATTAACCTTGAACACCGGGGAACCCTTTATTAAGTTTACCTGTAAATAATAACACTAGTAGTCTAATCTAACTATAGCAAATGCTCGCATACGCCCTTGCTAATATATTTTCAATAGCTATAAAAAGTGTAATAAAATATAATGATTGCTTATATCGTGAGAAAATTATTAACATAAAAACTAATATTGCGTAATTTAATTATTTCTAAATTAAAAATTATATTTTTGTATAATTGTAAATGATTGGCTGTTTATTAAGAAATATTTAAAATAGTTAACTAGTATATTTAAAATATTTAAAATAAAAATTAAATAAAAATTGTTTCTTAATCAATCCATTCATAAAATTTAACTTTTTATACATTAAGTAATTCTTTTATTATTTTATTCATTTACAGCTTTCAAACATTATTTTTAAATTATTAAAATTGACAAATAATTATATTTTACAACTTATTATATTGTATGCAATAAACGTAATTAAACTCATTTTAATTAAATAATTCTTATAATTAAACTAAAGTGGTTAATGGGAAAATATATTAAATATAAATAATAAAACAATTTTTATATTTTATTAGAAGGATATTTAATAATTTTAATTTTAAATGTTTAATTGTCAGGGAAATTAACAACTAATCTAGAACAGTTTGTAATGTTATAAATATAAGCACAGTTTACAATAAATGCAAATATAATGAATGAGGATATTATGGAAAACTTATCAAACAAAGTATGTTTACGATTTAAAATATTGTACTGATAATGAGATTGAGCAAGGTCTTTTCCAATAGTTTTATGACCCATAGATTGTAATCTAAAAAGTTTATTATAAACATTATGATTGAAACATAAACATACAATCCATAATAGCAATGACATAATATGAACCATTTCTACCAAACTAATTATCATCAAAAATATTTCATTTGATTCATTACTAGTCCAGTGATAGTCAGCCCGCAAATAGCTATAATCAATTGCAAAGTATATGGTGCACCGTAATATTTCTAAATACGGACTCAGTTTTCTAGCAAAATAGATAAAAAATAATAAAACTTGTGAGCTAGATCAATTTTGGATACTAACCTTTGATCCATAATACAACCAATTGAAGTAACAAATAAGTAAACGTATAGAAAGCAATTGAAACGAATTAGATAAAATGATTGCTATTAACTTTATTTTTGTTGGTGCTAATTTAATATATGTATTAATAGTACTATTTATATCGAATGTTATTGTGGTAAGTGAAGTTACATATGTTGACAACTCTGTTATTAACGGCTTACTTAATTTTATATCAAATACAGACAGACGTGTGAATCAACATAATAATTGTGTCCAGGTGGTTTATCAAGTAAATCACTATTTTCAACCAACCCTGGTGTCCAACTTGGCTTTTTAAGCACGGCAAATATTTTCCACTTGAACTGGCTCATACTAACACATTTATCATAAATGCTTTTGTAATAAAACAAAGTGAGTATGGAGTAATCGCATGTGCCAGGTGCTTTTTCAACTAAGCCGTACACCACAGTCTCATCTGACTCCAGTTCATGGGTGCCAAACAGCCTGTCCCACACACATAGGATAGCCCCGTAATTCTTATCAATACAGTACGGGTTACTACCATGGTGAACCCGGTGCAGACTAGGGGTCATCAACACGTGCTCTAACGGTCCGTATTTTCCGATAATAGTCGTGTGTATTGTGTACTGATATATGATAGCAAATTGGGTCTGAATTAATAGCACTTGAGGTGGCAATATAATTGCCAACAGATTTGTGCCAAGCTATAATTTGATAATTATTTTAGTACGGAATAGTATTTGTAAAATTATTTTCATAATTACATAAAACAATATATAATTTGCTTCAATGGCTGTGAATCTCGAGGCGACCGATAAGTTAAGGTCTTCGCCGCTGTGGTGGTACTGATGGTTAGCCCAAAATAGATTCACTTCATGGCCAGCCCTATGGCACCAGTAGTATACAAATTCTACGCTTAATAATGCTATAATCCATGTCCAAAACGAGTCGACAGACAATTCAATGATATTGTAGTTGCTGTGAATCCATACACTTANATGCTATAATCCATGTCCAAAACGAGTCGACAGACAATTCAATGATATTGTAGTTGCTGTGAATCCATACACTTATTGTGTGCATCAGATTCACTATAATTGTCCTTAATTTACAAAATAAATAAAGTTTTAATTAAAAATTATTATATAATTTCTATTTAAATCACCTAGTTAATATAGCCAACAAACCGGATATACAATTAATGATGATCTCTGAGGGTCTCACGGGATTTGATTTGGCAACTCGTATAATGAACTCCAATGCAATCAATATTACGAATAATGGGTAAATCTATTGGAAATAACAAAATGAAATTTTAATTATTACTTATTGATAAATTTCAAAAATAATTTCTAATAGTTTTACAGTACTTTGGCTTCAAATTGTGAATAATTGCGATAATCATCTGAATCATTTTGTTGTGAATAATCGTATGTATAAAATAGCGGCAAAAATAATATCCATAGGAATTGCTGCCAAAGTGCGAGCACTGTATCCGTTGCACACAATAGTGGACCAGAAGTTTCATACAAAGTTGTATTCATTATTATTGCTATATTTATGTATAAAATAGCGGCAAAAATAATATCCATAGGAATTGCTGCCAAAGTGCGAGCACTGTATCCGTTGCACACAATAGTGGACCACAAGTTTCATACAAAGTTGTATTCATTATTATTGCTATATTCAAGGATTTGACAATTAATTAAACAATTTACAAAGTTGTAATTAGTTTATATTGTAATTATCTTGATTATAAGGGCATTAATCAATAATTACATAATTAAGTACTAACTAACCTTTGAAAATTTTACAGCAAAATGTTTTATGTCAATATTATCGATAAAACTGTACTGCAATTAAACTTTTATTTATCNGTAATTATCTTGATTATAAGGGCATTAATCAATAATTACATAATTAAGTACTAACTAACCTTTGAAAATTTTACAGCAAAATGTTTTATGTCAATATTATCGATAAAACTGTACTGCAATTAAACTTTTATTTATCAGTCAAGTTATATCTTGTTAGAGAAATCGCCAAAACATTATGTTTTTGTCTGGATTTTCCACTGACTTTCCATGACACAAAATATATTTTTAATTATTTCATTTGCGAATTTTATGAGAAAGCAACTTTTTTTATACACAGTAACAACTAATAATTATTTTATAATTTCACAGTTTTGTTTGCATCGGTTGTAATTATGTAATTTTATTTTCAGTCACAACTTATAAAAATGTCAAAACATATCACTTGTAAAATGATAATCATTGAAATTATGCAAAAAAATTGTTTTCAAAATAATGAATAAAGTTATGATGTTATTTTTGTTTTTTACAATGATACTTTAGATAACAGTATACTGTATTTGACAGAAATATTTATTTTTTAATATAATATATTTTACATTAATAAATATTTTAGTAAATAATTTATGTCTATTATATAAACAAATTTTAAATGGTATATTTGAAATAAAAACAACCACGATTAAATTATATACATAATTATCATGATAAATATAGCTTACAATAACACCATTCACTTCAATGTATACAACTGTTGAGACAATAATTGCCGAATGAATTAAAATATATAAATACAGACAGACGTGTGAATCAACATAATAATTGTGTCCAGGTGGTTTATCAAGTAATTCACTATTTTCAACCGACCCTGGTGTCCAACTTGGCTTTTTAAGCACGGCAAATATTTTCCACTTGAACTGGCTCATACTAACACATTTATCATAGATGCTTTTGTAATAAAACAAAGTGAGTATGGAGTAATCGCATGTGCCAGGTGCTTTTTCAACTAAGCCGTACACTACAGTCTCATCTGATTCCAGTTCATGGGTGCCAAACAGCCTGTCCCACACACATAGGATAGCCCCGTAATTCTTATCAATACAGTACGGATTACTACCATGGTGAACCCGGTGCAGACTAGGGGTCATCAACACGTGCTCTAACGGTCCGTATTTGCCGATAATAGTCGTGTGTATTGTATACTGATATATGATAGCAAATTGAGTCTGAATTAATAGCACTTGCGGTGGCAATATAATTGCCAACAGATTTGTACCAAGCTATAATTAGATAATTAATTTAGTAGGGTATAGAATTTGTAAAATTATTTTTATAATTACATAAAACAATATATAATTTGCTTCAATGGCTGTGAATCTCGAGGCGACCGATAAGTTGAGGTCTTCGCCGCTGTGGTGGTACTGATGGTTAGCCCAAAATAGATTCACTTCATGGCCAGCCCTATGGCACCAGTAGTATACAAATTCTACGCTTAATAATGCTATAATCCATGTCCAAAACGAGTCGGTAGACAATTCAATGATACTGTAGTTGCTGTGAATCCATACACTTATAGTGTGCATCAGATTCACTATAATTGTCCTTAATTTACAAAATAAGTTTTAATTAAAAATTATTATATAATTTCTATTTAAATTACCTGGTTAATATAGCCAACAAACCGGATATACAATTAATGATGATCTCTGAAGGTCTCACGGGATTTGATTTGGCAACTCGTATAATGAACTCCAATGCAATCAATATTACGAATAATGGGTAAATCTATTGGAGATTATAAAAAGAAACTCTAATTATGTTTTATGGATAAATTTCAAAAATAATTTATAATTGTTTTACTTTGGCTTCAAATTGTGAATAATTGTGATAATCATCTGAATCATTTTGCTGTGAATAATCGTATGTATAAAATAGCGGCAAAAATAATATCCATAGGAATTGCTGCCAAAGTGCGAGCACTGTATCCGTTGCACACAATAGTGGACCAGAAGTTTCATACAAAGTTGTATTCATTATTATTGCTATATTTGACAATTAATAAAACAATTTACAAAGTTGTAATTAGTTTATATTGTAATTATCTTGATTATAAGGGCATTAATCAATAATTACATAATTAAGTACTAACTAACCTTTGAAAACTTTACAGCAAAATGTTTTATGTCAATATTATCGATAAAACTGTACTGTTTTTAAACTTTTATTTATCAGTCAAGTTATATCTATTAGAGATATCGCCAAAACATATTATGTTTTTGTCTGGATTTTCCACTGACTTTCCATAACACAAAATATATTTTTAATTATTTCATTTGCAAATTTTATGAGAAAGCAACTTTTTTATACACAGTAACAACTAATAATTATTTTATAATTTCACAGTTTTGTTTGAATCGGTTGTAATTATGTAATTTTATTTTCAGTCACAACTTATAAAAATGTCAAAACATATCATTTGTAAAATGATAATCATTGAAATTATGCAAAAAAATTGTTTTCAAAATAATGAATAAAGTTATGTTATTTTTGTTTTTTACAAACTATGAAATCTATTGTCATATGACATAAACTGTCTTTATAAATAAAAAATTATATTATATAAAATGTAATTATTTATAAAATCATTTATTAAATACAGATAATATATTTGTTTAAAATTTACCATATTTTAAAAATTTAATTTGAAATATAATATTTTTAGAAAGAAATAATAAACTTGATTTGATTTAATTAAATTGTGTTTGATAAAAATTGGTACAAAAACTCATTTTCCAAATGAATATATATTGTCCTTCAGGTTTTTAAATTTGTCATTTCAAATATCATCCGACAACTTTAAGTCGGGGTTACAACTAAAAATAAGATTTTAAATTATATATTATATAATCTTTTTTAAAAATTATATTTATGGATCCACAATTTTAAATACATTTCTTAATAAGCATTTAAACTTTTATGTTCATTAGATTTCTATAACATAGCTATATATATATTATATTTATAAAACTATAGAATCATTACAAATATAAATAGGGTTCTACCCCGATGATATTAAAAATTACTATTTATAGGGACTCACCTAAAAGACCTAAACTTCAATAACTAACTGACCAGTGGACATATTTTTAATTTGATAATTTGATAGATCCTGACCTAACCTAACCTACCATAACCTCAATTAAGCCAAATGACCACTGGTCAGTTATTTATGTAAGTTCAGGTCTTTTAGGTGAGTCCCTATAAATAGTAATTTTTAATATCATTTAGTTTTTCACAGAAATTAAAGTTTTTATGCAAAATTTATCAAGAGTACCATGATTGTTAGACAATAAAGAAACAGATAAATAAATATACCCAACAAGTTATAAATGGGATATTGTTTCTTAAAATAATTGTAAATAATAATTTATAATAATTACAATGTAACATATAAACTAGTTAACTAGAATAATTTTCTGAACTAGTTAAAAAGTTTATAAAATTTACAATTGTAGATCCATATATTTGGAAATATGTACACATACAAACCCCATTTGAAAAATGTCCAAAGCAATCATTCCAACGGAATAATTTATTTTTGTAAATTAATTTACCTTATTTTTATATTAATAAATAAATCTTATAACTTTTTAAGGATTATACAATATTTAATTAAATATAATTATTTTCATAAGTCTAAAGTTATAAAACATAGCATATATTTAAAATGACAGCAATAATTCTGTTTGATTTAAGTTTTAAAAGTTTGAGTCATATAATACTATTTGTTTATTAAAGATTATATTTTGAAATTTAGCTTTAATATAGACTTCGAGAGATTTTTATATTTCTGGGCACTGGATGTCCGGCACAGATATCATCTGAAGTATCACTGAATACATGAATTGTGAACATCTTTTGTGGGTTTGTTTCACACAATTCACAGAAATCGGCGATAAAATGATGGAAAATCTCTTCATAATCTTGTCGATTGTATCTAAAATATGGCTGCAAATGAATGGCCGATAAATTCGTTAACTCATTGAGTGTTTGACACAAAATTTTTGTCTTTTCTTTGATGTCGTCACACAAGAGAACTAATCGACGAATTGATGTAAACTTTGCGATCAAATGATACATTTGTCGAAAACATGTCACACATTCATAGCCTTCGAGATCACACGCAATGGATGTCTTCCATATGATTATAGTCTTAAGTATCGGAAAGCATTTCAAAAGCGATTCAAATGTCAACTCTTTTATACGACATGAATAGAGATCAAGTGTTTTAACTCTTGAGAATCGGTTCGTGTTTTCCAAGTATTGATAGTCAGGAAAGCAATGAAAACTAAGCGACAGATACACGAGAGTTGTCTGCATTTTGGCCACTCTTTGCAATTTCCCCGAATCGCGTGAATCATTAGTTTTATTCAATAAATAGGCAAACGCTTTGAGATTCATGTTATCAACGATTAGATCCAGTGATTCTTCAGGTACTCTCATGGCTTCAACAATGAATTGATCCAAATGTCTGCCATTACTTTCCACCAGTTCTTGAGCCAAATCTCGTGTAAAAGTCTTCAGTGAGTCGATGAGAATAAATGCAAATATCGCACACTTTGTGGCAAACATCTCAAGAGTTTAGATATAATGTGACTTTCGTTCAAACGGATACTCAATGCTTTCAATTGTGTCAACTCTGGGATCAATTCAATCATATTTTCCGAGTCTTGAGAAAAGTTTACCACAAATAGTGACATAATTCTTGACGACAAAAGTAGGCCTAAATTGATGGACTCCCGCTCATCAAAACGATAGGCGCCGTTAAGAAACAAACTGTTGAGTGCTTTGAACGCAATCATAGTTTCATATAAAGTGTCAAAATCGGTGTCAAAGCCTCTGAACTTTAGACTGAATTTTTGGGAATTTCTTTGAAATCCAATGAAATCTCTTTGTGTTTGACTCGATATCTGGAGATCCTTTTGAACCACATATGGATATATGATTAGGAAATGTATAATAACTGGGAATAACCGGTTTGTTTGGTAGGTATTCATTGATCCAAAGCCGAGATTTTGTGCCGAAAGCTATATTCTTGAGGCGTTGGAAGTGATAGTCGGCGCACATCTGGAACTGTTTGGACACTCTCTCCAATCGTATCAACTCATGGATCTCCATATGAGAGAAGATGTCAATCAATATGTCGTTATTCATGACATACGGCTTCTTAAGAGAAGTTCCACTGCTATTACTATCACTGTTTGCATTCATGTCTATAAACTGTTTTCTTGGATTGAAAAGTGATTTATTTATTTAACGGTTTTATTTTGTAATGAAATTATTTGTAAAAATATTTAAATTGTTAAATTCATGGGTGCCAAACAACCTGTCCCACACACATAGGATAGCCCCGTAATTCTTATCAATACAGTACGGATTGCTACCATGGTGAACCCGGTGGAGACTAGGGGTCATCAACACGTGCTCTAACGGTCCGTATTTGCCGATAATAGTCGTGTGTATTGTGTACTGATATATAATAGCGAACTGAGTTTGAATTAATAGCACTTGCGGTGGCAATATAATTGCCAATAGATTTGTACCAAGCTATAATTTAATAATTATTTTAGTACGGAATAGTATTTGTAAAATTATTTTTATAATTACATAAAACAATATATAATTTGCTTCAATGGCTGTGAATCTCGAGGCGACCGATAAGTTGAGGTCTTCGCCGCTGTGGTGGTACTGATGGTTAGCCCAGAATAGATTGACTTCATGGCCAGCCCTATGGCACCAGTAGTATACAAATTCTACGCTTAATAATGCTATAATCCATGTCCAAAACGAGTCGACAGACAATTCAATGATATTGTAGTTGCTGTGAATCCATACACTTATACTTCATGGCCAGCCCTATGGCACCAGTAGTATACAAATTCTACGCTTAATAATGCTATAATCCATGTCCAAAACGAGTCGACAGACAATTCAATGATATTGTAGTTGCTGTGAATCCATACACTTATTGTGTGCATCAGATTCACTATAATTGTCCTTAATTTACAAAATAAATAAAGTTTTAATTAAAAATTATTATATAATTTCTATTTAAATCACCTGGTTAATATAGCCAACAAACCGGATATACAATTAATGATGACCTCTGAAGGTCTCACGGGATTTGATTTGGCAACTCGTATAATGAACTCCAATGCAATCAATATTACGAATAATGGGTAAATCTATTGGAGATTTTAAAAAGAAACTTTAATTTTGTTTTATAGAAAAATTTAAAAAATAATTTCTAATAGTTTTACAGTACTTTGGCTTCAAATTGTGAATAATTGCGATAATCATCTGAATCGTTTTGTTGTGAATAATCGTATGTATAAAATAGCGGCAAAAATAATATCCATAGGAATTGCTGCCAAAGTGCGAGCACTGTATCCGTTGCACACAATAGTGGACCAGGCCTGCGTTCAACTAACAATTAAGATAAGACAAATCATAAGTTTATGATTATGATTAAGATATGATCAATCTTAAAAGCATTCATTAAAAAATCTTAGGATAATCATAATCTTAGTGTTTATCTTAAGTTTGCGCATGCTCAGTTGGCATTTAATCATCCAAACGATGGCAACAAAAACACGTGCACCGAATTGGACACAAGAAGAGCTAAGAGCTCTTGTAGTGGCATACAAGGACAGGAAGGATACCATTGATGGGAGTGTAAGTAATGAGCCGGTGAAATGCCACTACTTTCATAGTTTCTTTACTGACTCGGTTAAACTTTGCGTTAGTTTTCATCACATCTAACATCTGATGATAAAACTAAAGCATATCAAGAGATCGGCGAAGCTGTCAATGCAGTCAGTTCAGGCCGCCGCTCATTGGATCAGATCCGGAAGCAATTGACAGTCTTCCGAAGCAACACACGTAAAAAGGCCGCAACGATACGTGCTGACCGTGAAAAGACTGGCGGCGGCCCACCAACTGATCTGCGACTGTCACCAATAGAAGAGATTTTATTGTCGACAATAAATCCGGAGACCATTGACGGCATAATAACTGATGGTGACAGTGAGACAGCCATTCAGCCGACATCAACAGAATATGAAAGTAATGGTATTTCACCGGCGAATTGCTTCTCCCACTTATGCTACACCTCTCATGTCTCTTCACAGATCAGACTAGCGATGAGTCCAACTATGAAATACCGGCCGCTAAGAGTCCTCCAATGAAGTGCGAGAATAAAAAGCGCCGGATTTCTGTCTCGACTCCAACTTCTAACAGAGTGACAGCTAGTCATGCGGAGTCAATACTAGAAATCGAGAGATCTAAGAGAGATATTGCCACTCAATATGTTTTGCTGAAAAAGATTGAATTGAAGGCATATCTCAAAGAATTGGACTCAAAGGGAATCGATGTCTTAGAAGAACTCTGTCAATACTAGAAATCGAGAGATCTAAGAGAGATATTGCCACTCAATATGTTTTGCTGAAAAAGATTGAATTGAAGGCATATCTCAAAGAATTGGACTCAAAGGGAATCGATGTCTTAGAAGAACTCCAAGAGCTCAAGAACATCCCTTAACCGAGTCAGTAAAGAAACTATGAAAGTATTATTTCGGCGGAAGATTACTTAAAACATTCCTTTATTTGAAAATTTATAAATCATTAAATATGTTATCAATAAATCAATAAAATTTAAGTATAAAAATTATGAAAAATAATTTATTATCATATTTGCTCGAATGGTTTGAGCTGTGTTATTATACGGCACTTCATTTGCTTCAATTATGTCATAATTTTGAATATCGATATCATTGAACTCAAAGCCATAGAAATTGTGCTAAAAATAACATAAAATAATTTATAAGTGGGAAAAGCAATTCGCCGGTGAAATGCCACTACTTTCATACCTTACGTGCCATATTATGAAGAATAAAACAAGAGATTAATACTCTGCACGCCCTTTCAGGTGAAAACATTAGTTTACCGGCTGTTTTATCCAGACATCGAAAGCGCATTTTTAATACACCAAATGCTCGCTCAATAACATTACGGGTCTTGATATGCGATATATTATAACGCTTTTGACCCTCAGTTATTGGGTTACCAATTGGTGTCATTAATTGCTCCTCAAGCGGATATCCGGCATCACCTGAAATAAACCGGTGAAATGCCATTACTTTCATAGTTTCTTTACTGACTCGGTTAACATACCTAAAAGCCAACCAATGGTTGGGTTATGTTGCAAACGTTGTTTTAGGCCACAATTTGCCCAGATAAAAGAATCGTGAGTTCTACCGGGAAATTTTGCCACAATATTTGTGAACTCTAATCTTGCATTGGCTACGGCTTGAACATTGATTGAATGTCTACCTTTTCGGTTGACATAATCAACTTCAATGTCTTTGCTCGGCGCTAGGATTTCTACGTGAGTGCCATCAATAGCTCCAATTACATTTGGAAATTCTTTTAATACGTAGAAACCCTGTTTAGTTTTGGCCAATTCATCATTACTTTCAGGGAATTTAATGAATTGCCGAACTCGCCGACAAAGGGCTTTAGCAACACTGTGGATGACAGTCGATAGCGATCCATTGCTAATGCCTATTGTGTCGCCTGTAACCGAGTCAGTAAAGAAACTATGAAAGTAATGGTATATCACCGGCGAAATGCTTTGCACTTACCAGTAACTCGGTAAAAAGCTCCTTGAGCAAAGAACCGCAAGGCAGCACATACTTGCACTATTACAGGTAATGCGTGAGACCGATTAGTTGGTCGGTTTAAATCCAAATGTAATAAACGACAGATATCTATGATCCCATTTTTGTCAAATCTAAACCTTTGAATGCACTCAATGTCACTCAATTCTTCTAATGGGTTCAGTCNGTAATGCGTGAGACCGATTAGTTGGTCGGTTTAAATCCAAATGTAATAAACGACAGATATCTATGATCCCATTTTTGTCAAATCTAAACCTTTGAATGCACTCAATGTCACTCAATTCTTCTAATGGGTTCAGTCTGTCACGAAATACCCGCGGAACCCGTACCACATGTTCGGGTTCATCGCCAAACAGTACAATCCAAGACATAGTGTATAAAAGTAGTGGTATTTAACCGGCGAATTGCTTCTCCCACTTACTTATGATCAGTGAATACCTATCATAACTATGTTATACTTTTGCTCACTTACGACCCTTTGTTTAACTGAATGATCATAAGTCAATTATATGATCATTAAAATATCTTAGGATCACATAAAATCTGATCACAATCCTAACTTATGATTTACTGCTAAGATGGTTAGTTGAATGCATTTTTGAAAATCTTAGTTAGGATCGTCATATGATATTTAGCTGAACGCAGGCCAGAAGTTTCATACAAAGTTGTATTCATTATTATCGCTATATTTGACAATTAATTAAACATTTTACAAAATTGTAATTAATTTATAGAATAATTATCTTGATTGATTATAAGGGCATTAATCAATAATTACATAATTAAGTACTAACTAACCTTTGAAAATTTTACAGCAAAATGTTTTATGTCAATATTATCGATAAAACTGTACTGCAATTAAACTTTTATTTATC